AGTTACTATTCTCGTTATAAAGCTATAAAGGTATTAACTACGGCGATAGCTATAGTATAGTCTCCTCTATATAGTGCCGGTTAATATCGAATTAATATAGCTTATTAGTTTTCTATAAGAATTTAAGGTATTTATTAAGTTTTAATTTTAAGTATTTCTTTAAATTCTTCGAAGTATAGAGCGTATTCTCTAATTATAGTATTTTCCCTTAATAGCGAGGGTAGTAGTATAAGTTTATTCTCGTCTTCCGTTTCTCTAAGTATTTCTTATTCTTTAGAGCTTATATCGTCGATACTTCGTTAGTCTTCTTTAGGTTATTATCTAAGTTTTATAAGTATAAGGGCTATATCTATATCTTCTTTATTATATTATTTATAGACTACCTATTATTATTATCGATTTTTATTTTATATATCTTCCTAGAATCGTTTACCGTTCTTCTTAATCTAGTCTTAGGAGACTCCTTTAAGATAGGGGTATTCTAGTTTTATAAATTTAACTTATTTCTATGTTTTAGGATCCCTTCGTTATATATAAGAAGGTATAAGCAATAAGCGCAGAATCGGGTAATCGATAACGTAAGCGGAAAGATCGGTCGAAGGAGTATAGGGTAGGATTTCGTCCGGAATTTATAACGAGCATATAACGGGCTGAATAATATATTAAAAGAATAGCGTTGCAAAAGATGCTTGCGAACTTACTTATTTTATCTACTACTCCTAGGGAAATCCTTCGTCTTTTATAGACCATTGCTCGCCCACTAGTAGACCAATTAGTCAGCTTTCTAGCACATTCTATAGTGCTTAAAAAGCTCTATCTATAGTATATCTTCCTAACTTAGTAGGTGGTCTGATTGTGGCGTGATGGTTGACGTAAGACTATGGGTTCTGGCATGAGTAGTGGATTTAACTAGAATGTTCTATGCCCTACCTATTCTCGTATCGCGGATATCTTCGGAACCGCTAAGCTAAAATAGGCAATAGGGTATCCGTTCTGCTCGTAATTAACTTATGCATTTTATGCATATTTTTATTTATAAGGATAGGCTTATCCTGACCCGCTTTTCCTAGAGGAAGGTATAGATGTCTAGTAGAGGTCTTTGTCTTTTAAGGGTTATTCCCTTAAACTGTATTATAGAGCCTCTTTTTACTAGCTTATTCTATAAAGCCTCCCTATACCTATTATTTCTTTATAATAGTAAAATAGGAATATAAGGGTATATTCTTATATTATATTATTATAAGGGTCTTCTTTAGTAGCTTTAGGAACTATCTAGTACCGTTCTTATCGCTTAAGTATACTATATATTCGTTATCGTAGTATATAGTCTAACTAAGGAGTTTATACTTTAGTCCCTATCTATTAGTAGCGTTTAAGTATTTCTTACCTTTTAAGGCTAGTACCTAGTAGGTTTTCTTTTCCTTATAAGGTTATCTATATTCTTTAAAGTAATATCTAAGTTTCCTATAGTTAAAATACTTTCCTTTACTTTTCTATATTATATCTAGATCTATCCTACTTAGGTTAGTTATATAGGCATAGGTAATAGGAGTTTCGCGCTTCTTTTTATAGTTAGCGCGTTAGTTAAAGTTATTCTTATAGGAAGGGTTTTAGTTTCCTCTTCTTTATTTCTTTTCTTAGCGTCGCGTATACTATCTATCGTCGATTAGTACTACTATAGTAATATAGTCCGAGAGGTTATTAGGTTAATTTTCCTTATAGAGCTCGTCCTTAACTTCTTCTTTAAGCCCGTCGTAGAATCGTAATATAAGAGGTTTATCGTCTTAATTAAGCTTTAAGGTAACTTAATAGAACTTCGTAGTATAATCCGATACTAAGATCCTTTATCGGAGTTCTTAAAGTTTCTATTTAGCTTCTTATTCCTTATTAGTTATTCCGAATACCTTTATAATAGCTTCTTTAAATCGTTAGAAACTAATAAAGACTTTATCTATCTCGTTATCTCGTCGCGCTAGTTAGTTATCGAGAAAGTCCCTTATAATAGGTCTAAACTAAGCGAGTACTATTCTAAATAAATAATTTCCTACGTAAAGTACCTTTTCGACTAGGTCTAAGAGTTTAGTAGGGTAAAACCGGTAGTAGGCCTTAAGTTAGGTAAGAAAGTCTTAAAGCGTGCTATAAGTACCGTTAAATAGTCCTAGCTATTTTAGTTTAACTACTTCTCTAAGGTCCCTAACTTATCTATTGCCTCCTTTATTCTTAAGTAACTATACCTTATATTAGAGGGTAATAATCTCGCGTATTATATCCTAAGGCGATATAGTAGCTCTAGAGTTAGTTAATCTAGTTTATTATATAGGTATATTAATAGTTACGATATTACTTAGAGTAATATAGTATTATACTAAATAAGAGCTTTTAACGTATAACGACCGGTATTATTCTTAAGGGATAAACCTATCGAGGGGTTTATATTAGTAGATATAATAGGGCGTAGTCTAAGCAATAATATATATATTACGTTAGTAATAAGTCGGAGGTCGTAGACCGTAGACTATAACTAAGTAATTAAAATTAAAGATAGAATCGTAATAAAGATCTATATTAAAAGCTAGAGAGCTATCTATCTAAAGGAGTAAAAGTAGGTAGCTATATATACCTATAAAGACTATCCTTAGATTATAGGCCTAGCTATAATCCCTAATATTAGATTATATAGAGCGTAGTAATCTCGTTAATCCTAGATTACTTAGATCTCTACGATCCCCTCGATCCTATATCTATTAGATAGTCGTGCCGACTATTTATCCGTTAGACCGTGTCACGTGCTTAACGCGGTCGACCGTTAGCGGCCTAGTAGCCGTGGTCGTAATATATAGGCGCACGATCCTAAAGTCTAGACCGTAGCAATATATAGAGGCGGGCATAAATAGGTTACCTATCTAGGAATAGATAGGGCAATAGTTATTATATTATACCGTAAGATACACCCTATATATAATTTAAGGCCGTCTCGCAACCCGTTATTACTAAGCGATGCCTCTACGCCTTAATATCCCTATCGTAGAGTTCTTTATAAGCTTATTCTAGCTTATCTCGGATATCTAGTATTGCCGCCTAATTATTCTTAATAGTTTCGCCGTGCTAGTAGTCTCTTAACCTCTCGCCGCTAAAGCCTTTGCCTGCGTCTAGCGCTACTATCTAGATGCCTAGTAATTTTTACTTAAGGTGTTTTATTAGGTGCTTAGAGTGGTCGATGTATCGTGCCTACTTTACCTTTTCTAGGGCGGTGTTCGCTCTATCCGACGGAATCGCGGTTAATTAGGTATTCGTACTTTAAAAACTTAAAAAAGTCTTGCTTTCCCCGTCTTTTAATATATTTATCTAGGTCTAAGAGACCTAAGACTCTACGTCCGTTGGCTATATAGCGCACTAATAATAACGTTGATAGACAATATACCTTTAGCCGGGAACTTCCTAATCTAAGTAGTATCTTAGAATAGTTACGACTTAGCGTGAAAATGTACGTTGATCTGTCCCCTAAAAGCGGCTTCGATGCCCGGCTACTAGAGTCTGCGCGAAATCTCCCTTTGTTTTCCCTTTGGCCTTGGGAGTAGTATTCTGCCACTAACGCAATCGCATTCTCGCTATCTTCTATATATTTGCACGCCTTTTGCCTGCCGTTACTCTCCTAGCTATAATTCTAGTAAGTTTAGCGTCTGCCTGCTTATGCTCCCTCTCTTATTAAGTTGTCTAAATGTTTTTGCAACGCGTAATAAAGACCTTTTAGTTTACTTTCCTATAATTATAAGTAGTAGGCCTAGCTAGTAAGGGCCTATAAAGGCCCCTTAAGCTAGCTTTAAAGGCTATAGGCTTATAGTCTAAGCACGTAGCCTTTAAAAAGTAAAAGTTTACTTAGGTTAGCTACTTAAAGGGGCTATAAAAAGTAAGGTCTATAACTAAGGCCCCTTTTAAGCCCTGCCTTTAATAGGTGCCTTTTATAGCTATAAGGGCTTTTGCCTTATATAAGCCTAGACTAAAGTCTAGGCTAAGCTTATATATAAGCGGCCTCTATACCTATATAGGCTAGCCTATACTTCTCTTCCTTTTCCCCTTAATATATTATTAACCTTCTTCTAATAGACCGTACCTAAGCCTACGCCTCTACCTACTCTATAATAGTATAATCTACCTTTTATTTTACCCTCTCTATATCCCTATATATAAAATAGCTATTTTTAGCTGCCTTTAAAGCTAACGTCCTAGGCTTTAAAGCTATATATTATAGGATCTAGTAGACAATAAAACTATTAAGGAGAGTGGGCATAAGAGGCCACAATCATGCCTAGTAGACCCAATAGTTATATATAAGGGAGCCTGCCTAACCAACATAACTCCCCTAGCCCAAGGACATAATGCAGGCCTGACTTAGGTATAGGAACATCTTAATGCCCTCTTTTAGCTAGCTATATATAGTTACTATACCTATATAAGCCCCTCTCGTCCTAATAGATAGACCAAGACATGCATCACTAAATTCACCTTTCTATGCCCCTATTTCTTCTACTATACTCTTAAGCCCCTGCTTAAGAAAAACTAATCGAGTATATATAGGTAGACGCTTAAACACCATTAAACATTAAATATTGCAAGCAGATATATCTATAGGTCATCACGGGTATGTCTCTTCTAGTTATAGATAGATCGCTTACAAACAACCGTGGTGAGGTTCCTTGATGCCTAGACTTACGAGCTTCGCCGACATATAAGTATGGTTTCCGATACGAAATTGTTCAAATACTTCGTAAGAACGGGCGAGCATTGTATTCATGAGTGAATGAAAACTGCTTCCACCCTAAGGGGTAATAACGCCCATTTCCACCAGCCTCAATTCACATCAACCCATGAGTTCTCGACATCTCAGCAACCAGCCGACAGAGTCTGTAACAGTAGCGACAAGCCCTTTTAAAGACTAACAAATTCTCATTCGCCTCTACACAGACACCATCATTAAGGCTTGCAAATTCCACCTTCCAGAATTACCAAGGGTGACAGTCGTAATACTCGCGGCGGATGTGACGGAAGCGGCAGCACTGGCCATTGTGTTGGTAATAGTGCTTGGGACAGCCGCGGTGGCGAGCCTCGATGGCGTCAGCTCGCGCAGCCAGATGTCCCTCGACGTCGTCAACGGCCCTGATCTGAATGCCGGCGTCTGGGTTGGCCTGGGGCAATGCGTTGACTGAGCCCAATGTCAACAAGGCGGCGCCCACGAATTGTGTGAGAAGCATTTTGAGGGAGTAATTGTTTCACGGTGATAAAATTGGGAAAAGGTGATCAACGCAGTGAAGTGTAGAACACTGTTGGAGGCGAGTAAAGACGAGGTGGGCATGCTATGTTTATATGGACAAAGGTCGCCCAGGACATCTGGACGTGTTGCCCCTCCCTTAACTGCAGTAAGAAATTGACGTGGGCCTGCGTCAGGAGCAAAAACCATGACGGCATATGTCTTTGAAGAAAAAGCAATACCCAGTATACGTATCGTGCGAGAGGCTCGTATCGAAGAAAGCAACTAGGTCATAACTTGGCACCATCATCCGGAGTACATACAAGCCGGTACCCCTAGTCGCCCGTATCCCTTTGGATGTGCGAAGGGAGCAAGCCTGTTACGGGCATTGCTGGGACTTTTATTATAGTGATATTTACTAGTAAATTGATTGTACTCTTAATAGCGGGACGTCATTACTGGCTGATATCCCTGCCCGTAACACGCCTGCTCCCTCCGCACATCCAAAGGGATTGCTTTCAGCTCTTGTAGATCAGCCGTGTTTAGTAGCAGCCCGCACTGCAGTGACAGAGCGTCTTAGAGCTTCTTGCCGAGTCCCGTATGCTCTATACTTATGCACCTACACAGAGGAAACAGTAAATCACTCATATAGCATCCGGTGCAGTATTATATTTACTTTTGAAACAGTAAATGCTCATTTTTGGGTTGCCCGGCAGTCGAGGCGTTGAGCCGTGTCCGAAGGGCTCTAGGGAGTTGCTTTTCCCTGCTGGCTCAGCTGGACTAGGTGACCCCCTTTTTGTATAGTACATAGGGAGGATAAAAACGGCGCACAGGACGATTAAAGGGGGTCGGACAAGGTAGTGACGTTACAGCTCAACCATTGCCCAGAATGTTTTACAAACTAGTGAATCGCTCTCTTGGGCCCCGGTCCGCAGCGCCTCCTGCGCCTCAAAATAATCAAGGCAGACTTAACCAAAGCCATACCCCAGCCAACTTTAGTGCGAGAACTCGGCTGTACCGCCGTATATCCTTGTCGGCTACATATCTCACCGCCTGGGCTATACCCTGTGTTTTCGCAGCATCAGGACGACCATGCCTGTGTTTTCGTGCCCTTATCGGGTAAATAAAGCTATTGCGACCCTTGAAAAGATGCCTCCTTTGTCGGCAAGTCAGTCCTCGAGTCAGCAGCCCTGTCACTATTAGATTAAGCAGTTGACGTTGAGCTTCCTCGAGCTATTGCTTGAAGCCCGCATGGTAGGTTAATGTGGCCATGTTGAGGGTCCCCCGCAAGCCTTGCGTAGTGGCTATGACCGTAGTTTTCTTAGTAGTTAGTGCCGCAGGCGCGGTTGAGGGCGGCGGCGACGGCGGCCTTATAGCCCCGGTAAGTTCAATGCCTGCTATACCGTTGCGATCTGAGGGGCCTCGCCGTGTGTTATCATTCCTTTTCTTGAAGTTTGAATCCTCCTTTGGCCTCCCTTTGCCACGCATAACAACCAGTCGAGGGGGCGCCGTCAAAGTGTTTTTGGGGTTTATAACAAGCGCTATGCTTAAGCCAAAGGGAAAAGTCTTTAAGCTATAGCTGTGGCCCCTGATTTAGGCGCTGAAAGACTATATGACGGCACGGCACGCTAAGGCTTGTAGTGAAGCTACAAGGGCAGCAGCCAGGCGGTTATAGTAGCTTTTTGTTGCGTGGGTTCTTTTGCATCTCGTGATGTTCTTTCACAATCAGATCAAGAGCATATTTAGTAACCTTATCGCGATTCAGCATGTAAAGATGCCGCAGCGTCGTCATGCTGCTTCATGATTTTGATTTCCTTGGCTTAACGCTGCTCAATGGCGTTCAATTTCTCCATGATGGATGTAAGATCCCTTATTTAAGACCAAAGGAGCAGCTGCATTGAGGAACTTAAGCCTTGGCTTCAGAGATTGTTATGCGCCTGAAGTGATCATAATTAAGTGCCAAAATCGGTAGATTTCGTCCACGCATCTTCCGCTTGACCGCTCCATTGGCTGCTCTTTTACACAAAGCCAGGTTGACAGTACTGTAGAGCTGCCTTGTTGACATGCCAGAGGCAAGCGGTGCTTTGAAGGTAGGGAAACAGGTTGCAGCCGCATGTATGGCAGCGAGATATCAGTCAATCAAGGCCACAAAAGGAAGCCCATGCTAATGGAGAGTGGCAAAGTAGGTGACTATCAAGGACAACTGGCAACCGAAGTCGAGAGGCGGCGAGCGCTTGCTCATGAAGTTAAAGAGGCATGCTCTACAGTATGTTGCTGGCATGATGGAGAGCGGAGGCTACGTTCAGCTACCTACCTCGGTGAGATGACGCCATCAAGTAACTACATATACGTATTGACTGGGAGACTGGTTACTCATTTGGAGCGGGCCAACCTTACGCCTATCGTCGCTGGAATTTCCGAATCGGTAAAGTAATCACGACATGGAGTACCCGCCCGTACAGAGAACGTTTTGGTACACTGGTGCACACCCCGTCTGCGCTTTGTATCCAAAAACTAATCACTAAACACCCTGCAGCCGGAGCGCCATATTCTCCAACTGTCAAATCGTTCACGACGGTCAGAGGGCTGGCGCGACATCTTGGAAGCAGCGCCTGCATGGATGGCACGGCTAGTTTCTGGAATGCTGGTCGATGCCTCGAGAACCGGCTGAAGTTTGGAGTGTGCCTGTGAGGTTATCAACGTACGACCCCATAAAAGTAAAGAAGTATTTTCGAGAATATAGTCCTGGGCCAGTTTCCGCAGATCTTTCCCATCTGGTGAAAGGGACATTTATACCAGATGCCCAGATAGGTCGCCTTGAAATGTTAAGTTGCGCGTCTGATTGACGTCGCAATGTCCCTCTAGACTTTCCTAGGTCCCCGTCTCTGAGAAGAATGCGAGCCAATCCAGGACTTCTAACCTTGAAGGCAAAGTCAACGGCCTCGCCTCTTCCATCGGGGATGTTTCTTAGCTGATCCTGCAAGGTATCTACGAAGCTGCTCAAACAGAATACATGGATCAGGGAAGGCATACGAACAATAATACAACAGTTCAGGTTCATGACCGCGTATAGGAAAGGGGCACTCTGTCTTGTTTTCCTGCTAGTCGTATTGCGTTTGACTTTTCGGGATCTTGGTCAACGGCGCAAGAATACTTTTCGCCCGATCATGCATAGAGCATTAACATCACCCCGTCCTCGTAGACGCGTCAGAAGTCCGTCCGCCTCGCCCTCCAGTCGTCGGCGGAGCCGGAATCAGCTGAGCCAGTTTCTCTGGAGGTGTAGTGCCGAATGACACCAGAATCTCGTTAGGCCGGAGTTCATGAGGTCCAAGAATCTTTTCACCCTCGGCTATGGCAAGAGGACGATTTTGCATATGAGTGGTGCATTTCTCAGATCGGACAACAGCGAGGACGCAGCACATGTATGGGCCCACGCATTATGTAGGTAATATTGATAAGTATTACGTATGGAATACACTAATTGACGCCATCCATAATTGGTTACTCTTGTAGTGTGGGAAATCAGATGTAGAGGTTCGTCAACCTGACCATACTAACGTCACCCTCCTCGTTCTCTTGGACCAATTCGACCGGAATCCCCTGTGTGATGCCGCTTTTGATCCAACTTTTTGTGCACTCCTCCCTCTCAGTCGTACGACTTCCTAGTTGGCATTGGTCCCATGATATTGTACGTATGGTGCCGGAAAAGACGCGCTCGGGCTCGGCAGACAAAGCAGGTAGTCGACAGCCATTTGGAGAGACGGGGATACCTTTTTGCTGCTCCTCTTGAAGTCACCAGGCTAAAGGAGAACAGTCGATGGCGACAGGCGTTTGCGTGGTAAAGATTTATACTCGTTAACCTCATATATTGCCAGGCTGACGACATCAAGCCCTCGAGCAAGCAGGTCATACTCGTCGAGTGGCTAGAACTGATTTCTCAGTTCAGGAGTAGTAGTGCTTATCGGCATCACCTAATTAATATCCCCCCTGGTACTTCTGTTACGCCATCCAGGACTGGCGCCATGACTTGAGCTAATGCTTTCAGATGTGAGCTATACGCCTCGAGGGATGAGGTATTATTGCTGTCCCGCATATAGGGCTCTCGTCCGTCAGCTGGTAGTACTTGTCAAAGACAGCCTAAGAGGCTGCAATGTAGCTGCGGAGTAGGTGTCTGTCGCAGTGCTTTTAGGAAGACTGCGTGTAATGCCTGTAGAGAAGGTCTATAGTGAAAAGCGTACGATGAAAGCGTGGCATAACGACCCTCTATATATTAAGTGATCTTCTAGGAAGGTTAAAGAATAAGACTATGACTTTAGCTATATAAAAGTAATATATAGTACTAGCCTTTATAAATCTTATAGTTCTCGCGAAGAGAGATGCGAGAAGTGCATAAAAATGCACGAAGGTGAAATTAGAAGTAAGGGGTCGGATAGGCAGGGCAGAGAGATTTGATTCTTGCGGGGGCAGCAATTGCGGTAGGGGAATAATTATTATATTGCCTTAATTTTCCTTCTTTCCTCTATCTAACGCCCCTCTTTATACGTATCTAGCATCTCAATTAATAAAGAAGATCTTGCTTAAAGAAGCTACTAATGTCCTTTCGACTACCGAGCTTTTTACCGGTTTTTCCCCTCTTTTCTAGCCGTTGCCGGCATATCCGTCTTCTCTTTCGCTACCTCTATAGGAAGCTATCGCTACTTCTACTTCCCCTTATGCCCCTACCCTCCTTTCTATACCTCTTTTAGCTCCTTCTTCCTTCTTCTATACTAGGTGTTTTTAGCTTCCTTAGTCCCTCGTGCTAAGGGATATCTCCGAGAACTGCGAAATTAGGCTACGCTTCGCGATACACCCCCTTAGCTATGGCCTGCCCCTTAAGGGCATAGCTAATACGGCTTCGGGCTAGTAAGCGTATAGAGGAGGTTCTTAGCTCTATACTTCTCCCTTTACTCGAGGAAAGTAGGGGCCCTTTTAGGTCCCTAGGCTCTTTTAGACCTACTTAAGGAA